CACTGTGGCCCAAGGCATTACTGCTGCTTTAGAAAAAGGTCTTTGCTCTCTTCTGGTCAGCAATGTGGAGACATATATAATCTCTTGCCCTTTTGTCAGTCAGATTGTTGAGCAATTTTTCTACCACCCCCTCTCCAATAATTTATGCTCTCATTTCAGTGTAGCAGAAGCAGTGCCATACTTCACTGCACTCAGCTGCCGTGCACTTCTGAGCTGGATGTGCACATGTAGCAGAAGGGCTCTTCCACAAGAGGGTGATGCAGGGACAGTTTGAAACTGACCCTGAAGTATGTGATTTGATGTTAGTCGTGACAAGTAAATCGAGGCTTTAGCATTGATCCTGAAACTATCTGGGATCCATTAGAGTAGGAGCTGCCTTAGACAGAGAAACTATACCCATAGAGTAATTAGTCGAATCACGAATTAAGTTCTTCTGTTCTTTAAAACTTTAAGCGTATGATACTGATAAGACGCAATCACATTTTGCCTTCAAGAGCACAAAAAAATGATCAGCCTATCAGGGAAAAATCTCCCCTAATTCATGTTCAGAGGTTGTTTCAAAGAGTTAACGGACTAAATGTGGATTGAGTACCAGAGAAATACTATCTCCTGTAGCAATCTCCAAGTATATTATATAAAATTTATATTAGTAATGAGACATATATATATAATCTTGGTATCTGTATCTTAATGTTTAAGTAAGATAGCTTTGGGATTTTCCAATAAACTGTCTTGCTGTCCCTGTAAAGAAAACAAATAGCTATTGGTTATTTACAGTCAAGTTGTCTTTCTGATGTTTGCCCATGGAGTACTGCATATTTATTTCTTATTGTGACTTTGTTCTCTCTAATAAGAAGTCAGTCAAGCTGGACTTACCAAGTTTACTTTTCTCTTTACTTGTACTTTGCTAAGTGGCTGTTCATAGCATACTGAAACCTGTTAATGATACGAGATTAAATAAGGCTATTGGCTGTTACAGCTCTAAGTGGGGGGAGCTGGGAGGAGGGCAAAGAAGGGTTTGGTGTGTTGTTTGGTAGGCTTTTTAGAATTTTTGTTTAGTATGCCTAAGTTTTTTAAGGGAATGGGGAGGGGAAAAACGAGCTTGCCAAATGTTAAATTCACTCTGCGTCTTGGTTGTTTCTAGTTGTTGGTGAAAAGGAGAAGGCAAGTGGAACAGTTAACATCCGCACCCGAGACAACAAGGTGCATGGTGAGCGTACAATTGCAGACACTGTGGAGAGACTGCTGGAACTGAAACGCTCTCGCTCCAGACAAGCTGAAGAGGAATTTTAATACCATCTGCTCTACCTGGCATAAAAAAAAGATTTTAGTTTTTCTAATTCAGTTAACCACAGCTTTTTTGTGCTGAACCAGATTTGAAATATATTTCACATTGGACCTCTTGCTCATTTTACTAGAGATTTTTCTTCAGTCAGAAATGTCTCTTTTTGTAAAAATCAATTTTTCACAAACCTCGAAGTAAGATTTCCTGGCCCCTGACCAGTGAAGCAAGATGAAATGGCTTTCTGTGACTGCAAGGGAAAATGGAAATGCTAATCAGGGATACCCATAGCATTCTAACTACCCTGTTAAGAATAAAATACATTTTGATAACAAAAGTTTTTCATGAAAGTTGAACAAAAGGCCCCAGGCTTAAGAAACCACATAGTAACCATGTGCTGCAGCAGCTTTTGGAGTGTCTCCTTTAGCAAGGGAACTGATACCGTGCCCTCTCATCTTCTGGTCTTAACACTGTTCAGTGTATTGACTGAACAGTACTCCGTCTCATGAATGGGGAAATGAACAGAGGTCTCCAACTCCCATGGTGGTTGGTGCCTTTGGGAGTGTCCCAGCTGTCACTGTGTGACACTCTTGGCGTGGGGCCATCTGCCACAGAGCACCGAGCTGCCAACTAAAGCCAACTACCCCGCTTTCCAAAGGCAGTATCTGAAATGCACTGGCTCTACAGGTAATGTTGTTGGAGCTGTAGAAGGGGGATAAGACTGTCTGGAAGAGGTAGGGCATAGTAGGGCCAAAGAAGCAGCTAAGAAAACCAGGGTTCTTGGGGACAGAGTGGTCCTGTTCTTATCCCTGATCTCAGAGTTGAGGGATTCTTCAATTGGTGTTGGGTTTGCGGTTTGGCGGTTTTTTTGCACATCTGGATGACAAGAGGCAAATGTTTGTCGTTGAGAAAAAATAAAATCATGGTCTGAGGTTTTTTGGTTCTGTTTCATTGGGGTTTTTTTTGTTAGCTGACCTGAACAGCTTCCACTGTTAGCTGACACCTGTTTCTTTAAAAAGAAAGCTCTTGCTATAGCCTTAGCAAAGATCAGACAAATCAGGACAGGTTTGAACCATCCTGTCTTTTGAAAACCTCAGTCTCACAATGTCCTCCATTATCTGGGCAGAAGCATTTCATCTAGCCTTTTCTCACCCATCTTTCACAGGGGTGATGGTAACATTATGTCAGCACTTGAGCCCCTTGTGCATTCAGTCTCACCAGACAACAACCCCAGCAACTTCTGGCAAAATCTATTTCCTCCTCCTCTGGTTCATTCAGACTAAACGTTCCATCTAACTGCTGTGGGGAAAAAAGAGGGGGGGCAAATTGACTTTCCACTGCCTTGCTGCTTTCAAAATTACTTCAGTGAGGGTTAAGTGCGTTATTATTTTCTGTATTTTGCGCCTGCTTTACTTGGCTGTGAAGTGACTGTTGCTTGTACAGAACAGCAGCCTCAGATGTCAGCTGTCCGTGGGGCAGGAGGACTTCATCAGATGTTGAAGCAAAAGCAGAGCAGATACTGGTCCCCCATGGAGAAGGAGCCACTAGCTCTGTTGCTCTGTAGGCATCGTGCCTCAAAGCACCTTTCCCCTAGGCTGGTGTATGTGCTGGTTTTCACAGAGAGCTCTGCCTTTTGTTTTGCAGGGGTCCCTAGGCACGCTGGGGTGAAACTGCCTTGGTCACGTCATGGGATACTGGTGCTGCCGCACGCTAGCTGCCACTGCGGGTGGCTCGGCAGGTGCCAGCCTTGGACAGGTGATCCTTCTACAGAAACTTCATTTAGATCAGGCTTTTAAATACCTATGTAAGAATCTACACACATGAATACGTTACTAGAAGCAACACCTAAGGGTACAATCCAATAAAGTACGTACCTCCAGCAGGTTGTGGACAGAACCAAGGTGCCTGCATCCAAATTGTAATCAGTGGGGTGCTGCACTTGCGCTCTCTGCTCCTTGTAATTCTCCAGCTGCCAAGAGCTGTGGATGTGCACAGAAGCAGAACTGTCCTCGCCCAAGCAGCACAGCCTCTCCCTTGGTTCAGCCAGAAGTCCTCTCAAGAGCAGGCTTTGGGCACTGCATTGCACCTCCGGTGGGACTAAGCTTCCAACAAACTACTGTGCATGTCTCCTAAGGCAGGAGGATGCAACTTTGGTGTCACAGCTTAACGGTGGGACCACTTGTCAAGCAGGAGAGGATCACAGAACCAGAGAAGAACCTCTGTATCTTTCCAGGGTGAGGAGGCTGAAAGCCACCTCTGCGGTTTGTCAGAGCGTGCTCTGATTACCAGCATTAGGTAAGCAAAATGCAAAACAGTTGTGCCTGGGTTTTTAGTCTGTACACCCCTAGGGAGGTTTTCATGGGCATGCAAATCCCATCATGTTTACCCTGGACTCCTCCATGCCATAGGTGATTCCTGTGCAGCAGCTAATAAGGTGCAGCAGCAGCTAATAAGGTGCAGCACCAGCTCTGCTGTACTTCACAGACAGTTCTGTTTGCTCACACCTTAAAGCAGATTTCAAAGTAGATCACTGAAGGAGGGACCCAGAATGACAGGGAAGGAAGATCTCTAACCTGGTAATATAGACAAATAAGTTCTGCCAGGAAATTCTGTACCAGGCAGGAATCACCATGCCAGCCTTCAGTTTTCTGTGAAACTCTTCAGTTCTGCAAACTCCCCTGAAGGAAATTTCCCCTGGCCCAGAGGAGCCTGGATGCTGCCATGGCCAAGGGTAATTCACTAAGACTCTTCTTGACACACCTTGGGATGAAATTCCCACAGTGGCTGATACTATCTCAGTTACGCCACTGGGACAACCTGATGCAGTTTCAATATTCGGATTCAGTAGCGTTATGTCAACTCCTCTAAAAGCAGTGAAGCGTCACCTTTAGAGAGAACCCAGCTGTGAGATAAACTGCTAGTTGGTGTAGGCACCTCTACACAGTCGGTCTTGCCCTGACTATGTGGGTTTTTTTTTTTTTTTGCATCCAAACCCAGTCCGAATCAGTTTGCTGAGTCTGACTTTTCCCATGTTAGAGTAGGCCAAATTCAGGGAGGTCTTTGAAAACTCATTTCAGGCCTTAAGCTCATGCCCTGTGTAATTTCATGATTCCCTTAGTCTCCTCCACCATTTCTTAATTGCACAGTCAATTCTGGCAAAGGTCTGAGCAGTTTGCCCTCAAATCAGATAATGGTAAAGTGACTCTATGAAAATTATGTATTGCTAGAGGCTATGCTTATTTAAAAAACAAAAACAAAAACAAAAACAAAACCACAGCACATACTGCTTTGCTGCTTAAAGAGTATTTCCAAAACCATTCAGCCATTATATACACTGGTGTTTTCCATCTGCTTTGGCCAGGCACATTCCTTCACAGTTGTCTGGTTGTGGCTGGTGCCTTGTTAGCCACTGTGATCCAGTATGCGCATACAGAATGAGCTACGTTTGGACTTGTATCAAAGTTAAGTTTTTTCACGCAGGAGGGCCTCTGGAGCAAGGCATGCATCAACATCTCCCGATAAATTACTACAAAGAACATGCACTCAAGATAAACTGGGGCAGCCAGGGACATTTTGTGGTGTTCTCGTACATTAAAGGTAAATCATCTGGGCTGCACATTTAGTTTTGATACAGAAGATATCTGTATCCCTCTCAAAACCATAGCCTTCAACTGGATCACAAAGCTCTTCTGCAAACAGGAAAACACTCGTGAGGTGCACAGAGGGCAGCTTTGAAAACTGAAAAAACCCCCACCAAACAAACACAAAGTGTTCAGCATCCAGATAAAAAAAAAGAAAACCACTTATGCCACCTAAACATGACAGAACTTCCACATCTATCTGTATTAAAAGATAAGGTAGTAGGGACCACTAGAATCGAAGCACAACAGCTGAATCCATACTGCTTCATGAGACAGCCTTGTCTTCCCCAAAGTCTTCGAATTGCCTCTCTGGGATCCCCAGAGAGAGAGGCAGAAACAGGGTTGGCAAAGGGGAGCAGAGCTTAGGCAAGAAAGCACAGAACAAAGACAAGCAGTGCGCTCCTTGCTGACATCAGGGTGCAAAGTACAATTAAGCTCCTTGGAGTCTGAAGCGTCCCACCCTGTGATGGGTTTATCTCACTGGATTAGAAGAGAATATGTTCACTGCAGGCCAGTTTGGGGCTGACACTTAACGCACATTTTGCTATCCATCACAAGAAGAAGCAGGCTTATAAACCAGACATTTAGTGATTTATTACATTCCTGAAACATGACTCTTCATTTTGGGAATACCCAAAACTAACCCTCGTACATTGAGTGTGTATGGCAACATCAGCACACGTTAACTTAATATTCTGCAAGAGCTTAAATGCACAATGACATTAAGATAATCATGTTTAATATGTGATTTCTCAATTGCACACCTCAGGGACAAACTGCAACCTGTTTACAGCACATCATTAGCAATAAAAGGAAAATTCCTGTGTATTTTTGTTTAATGGGATAAAGGATGTGAAATGTGCCCATAAGGATGTGCAATCTCTGCCCCAGAATATCTGCAAGGATGTCAGGCTGCACACTGGAACAGCTTTGAATGAAATGAGCAATGGACTTCTTAGCTATGAATAAGGAAAGACACCTTTTATTCATGCAGCCACTGAAATGTCAAAATGGGATGAATTTCTAAGGATACCTTTCCAAGAAGCCATTGCCAGATGAGAGTTAATAAAAATACAATGACATTAATTCATAAATACTCCATTTAACTATGGGAAATCAAACCACAGGTATGTATTCTGAATTCTGGCCCCCACATCAAGGCAGTTGGTGTCAGCAGAGGGATCACGTGGAGTCCAAATACCTTCAGATCATACTAACAGGACAAAAGGATCAGAGAGTTTCTTCAGGTGTAAGATCTCTTTGTTTTTTAAACCACTGTAAGTCTTTGAGAAGATCATCCCTGGACAGATTGTACATCCACTTTACTACCAAAGTTTCCCTTTCTCACACTGAAAGGCTGCCATCCTTAA